CTAAGCAACTACTACAAACTGAGATGTTTTCCTCCTTTTATAAGATTTTAAAATCACGCGCTAGAATTTTCCAGTACTTTCTCGAAATCAAAAAGAGATATTTATTTATTTAATGCCCGCGCTCTTGTATTTTCAATTTTCCGGCTTAGCTTTCTTTTAATATTAGTCACGCGCTGCACTGCGCGAGAAGTAAAACCATTTAATTTATAATTGAACTAACATTAACTTTTTAAATACCAAATTCGTAACAGTATAATGAAAGGTATGAACGAATTTCAGGAATTTCGTGGAAAAGTGTATTTTAGAGTCAAATAAATATTAGAAAAGGTGCAATTGCCATATAATTAATTAGTTTCATTAATGTAAGTAAAAATAAATGTTAGAAGTTAAATATACAAAATAGATACAAGTTGTAATGATCATATTCATTTATCTAATAGTTAAATTTTCAGTTAAACTAACTTTCCTATTCTTTCTGAATTTCAACTTATAACTTCTGGTCAGAATGTATTTTTTTTAGAATCACATTTGAATGCAAATTGAGGAAGAGCATATTTAACCTAGCAAAATTCTAGTGTCTTAGAGAGAACTAGAGATTCTGGCTAGCATGCGTCTGCCTTTTTAGGCTACTCTCTCTTAGGCTGTTATTACGCTCGGCTGTACTTTAGGGACGCGATAGCTTCGCAGTAATTAGCATTAAGGCACCAACTCTGTTAGAAGTTTGATAGCTTCGGCTATATCTTTTTAGTTAAGATTTGTTTAGTCCTTAGTCTCTTAAGTTCAAGCAAGAGTGTCGGCTTATTGTACAACTCCAAGATGGAATTCTGTTACACCTTATTGGAATAATAAAGAGTTAATTTCACCCTTTTTACTTGTTGTTTTCTATCCCACGAACTCAAGCAATTATTCGCTTACTAGTTCTTAAGATTCTTAACATTCAAATGTAACTTAGAAGTACACAGTGCAGAATCTTACAAAGTAAATAAAAGAAAAATAAATAACTAACCTTTATTATAAAGGCATAAATATCATTTACCATTCGATTTAGTCCAACCGAGTTAAAAAACTTAAAGATTTTAGACATTTTTCTAAATTGTTTGATTTTAGAATTCTTTTAAGATGTTTTCAATTCTTTCATCCAATTTTACATATGCTTTTTTCCTTTGTATTCCAGGGTCGCCTAATTCTCTGGATTTCAAGTTAAAAGACACTTTTTGTGTTTCTTCTTTTAGTATTTTAACTAAGAAGTACATATTAGGCTGGTTTTGCCAGTGACTGCATTTAATTTGGAATTCCTACCTTCAACAGAATTATTTGTCCTATGACGCTGTCCATATACATTCCATACTTTAATGGGCATATTTGGATTGCCCATCTACTGCTTGACAAAATAATCGATAAATGTGGTAAGTTTGTCAATGCCAAAAGCTTCTTCCCATACAATGCTCCAAGCATCATCTATGTGTTCCATTGGCAAGTAAGCTAATGCAGAAAATCCTTCTACAGACATTTCTTATATCTTTGCTCTCTTTAGAGTCTTTTATTTGACCCATTTCTTGTATCATATGCCACAAACATTGATTAAAATGAAAGTTATAACTGGAAACAGTCGAATTGGGAAATCCTAACATACAGCTATTGATGGCTGCAGCTTGAAAATACAATTTTATAATGTCCAGCTTTCACTTAGGGCACCAACGTTTCCCCATAAGCGGCTTGCCTCTTATCAGGCAGAAATGCAAAAAGCGCTGGATAAACGTTAGTCTCAGATGCTGTACTCTTTAAGACGACGTGTATTGTATATATTTAAGCAAATTGTTTCGGACAACTTTTAAATATTCCATCTAAGAAAAAGGTTTTTCTATTTTTCGAAAGGTACCGAGATTCTTCTCCTTCAAATACTAATCCTGTTATCTTGGTCATTTTGAAAGTCTAAGCGAAGAAAGTTTTCTCTATTAAAAAGCATAAGTGTATCGTTTGCAAACTGAATATTGTTGGCTTTTTGGGTAGCTCCCAAAGCCTTTCTCCTCTCCTTACATAAAACAGTCTTGGCACTGGAGTATGTCTGTATTTTAGTAACGAAATCATAATCTTTCTGATATAATTCTAATAGTTCTTGAAATATCAGCGAAATGAGAACTGATGTTTCTTCTTGGACTCTTTTTTTTTTTTTTTCCTTTTTTTCTGCAAGTCTCTAACTTTTTTTTTTTAACTTCGATCTCAGCAACGCACACAAGAATGTTCAGTTTTCTTCAGTACTTCATACTGAAAATTTGTCTTTACATTTCCTTTACAATGGTGTCTTTTCTTTTACACATATCCAATTTAATCCTAATTTATTTTTTGGGTGTGTGGATAATCATCTACAACTAAACATTCTTTTCCCTTTTTTTAGAGAGTAATTTTGTTAAAATGGCTATAGGTTAAATCACAGATTTTTTTGACGATATAAAACGACATACACACTTCATAAGAATCAACTCTCCAAGTGGAGGATCCTCGTCAACGTGAAAAAAAAAAAAAAAAAAAAAAAAAAACAGCAGCTATTATGTTTACGAAAAAGACCAACTTCAAGAAAAACCTGAAGTTTTATGGCACTGATATTCCCTGGGCCAAGAAAGTCCCTTATTTTGGGATGGTCTTCAATAAGTCACTTACATGGTCCCCACACATTACATCTATTACTCAGAAGTTTTGAGTTCTTAAATCCAAACTATACCCCTTAATTGCTCGAAACAGCGTATTATCAATTGACAACAAGTTACTCATTTACAAGTCCATTCTATGCCCACTTTTGTGTTATTCAAGTCCAGTTCGGGCATATACCAAGAAAACTAATAGGAAAAGATTGCAAGTCTGCCAAAATACTGTTCTACAATGAATTCAATTTGCCTATGTTTGTACTACCTCATTCTTGTCACAGTCACCAGTTCTTTGATTTTTCTGCTCTCACTAGTTTAGACAGAAACTCCAGTGTTATTAATACATTAACGAGTATTTCTATCTGACCTTAACAAAATTATTTTAAAAAAAAACTACTTGATTTATCGTTTGGTTACTGTATACCACCTTTCGAAATGATAAACCTGTTCTACAAGGGGTAAAGCCTTGGCTCAGGCATCCTGGTGTCTCAAACACTGTTCTACATAGACAAAGAATAAGGATCAAACATCTACTGAGAAGATGAGAAAGGCCTTCTCTCTTAAAAGTATCAGCTTATCTCTACATCAGGAGCAAAGCTCAAAACTACACAATAGATGACATGAGACTGATTGGGGAAACAACACAATACATGCAACAAATGTCCGCTCTGTCCACACAGCTACCCTCACGTGTCCGCTGTAGCCACTGCCTGCTCTCACCACGTAACCATTTAAAGAAACCAAATAATGAAGAATCTGCATGGAGGTATGTATGTTCCTCATACTGTAAAAAAATGGCAGTACCCAGGGTCATCAAATTTTGAATAGCGTAGTCCTTCAACCAAAATGTGCCTTAGAAGACCAAATTTTATATTTCCTATTTTGTTAATGAATTTTTTATTAACAACTTCAATGATTTGAAAGCAAGCAGTGGCATCAGTGTAAGGAATAAAACATTTTTATCTCCAGCAAGTGAGACTGTATACCAAAAATTCTAAACATATACTGTTTTTAAATATTTTGGGATTTTGCTACTAAACTGAATTTTATTTGGTGTAAGTGCAAAGAACATATGTATTATTTAATAAATAAAGTTACCACACAAAACATTATTAATAATAAAAAGATGGTTATGCAAGCCATCTTACTATGAAAACAAAACACTGATATGATGGAGAGAAAAGATTAGAAAAAAATTACTTGCATGAAAAAAACACTGCATTGGTAATTCTAAACATATGCTGCTTTTAAAATTTGCATAATTTTGCTGTTGAAATGTATATGGCATACGTGCTAAGAAAATAATGCTTAATAATAAAACAAGAAAGACAAAAAGAAATGGGCTAACAGGAGTGAGTTTAACAGCAGACTGGTAGACTGTGAGCTCAGCGAGAGTGTAAAGAAATCTTACCAAACTATTTTGGGCATCCTTTAAAATCTGAGCCATTTCAGACTTTTTTGGGGGGTACTAATTCTTTTGAGTTGGGGATTTATTACTTAATTTATTTATTTATATGAAAATTTACAGCTTTCCTTTCTGGCCTCAAAAAACTTCAAATATTTATAATTATATTTCTACAATTTAGTAAAATACAATTAAAACCTAAATGCACAAAATATTGACACAACAAACAAAACAGTTCTTTAAATATGCAATCAGTTGTTTAATAAATTATGGAAAGGCATATAAGGATTATCTGCCAAATCAAAATCACAAAATGCTTTAGTGGTAAATACAGAACACAAGAACAGTTCCTTAAATCTCAGTCATTTATTTAATCATTTACAGCAATAAATGTGAAGGCTATTTTTCCAAGAGAAAGATGTTTTGATGGAGAATTTTTTAAGGGAAACTAGTTCATTATCACATTATACATATGGAAAATCATAAAGACACTCCTACTGCCAGTCTGTTTGATGGCACTTAAACCTCAGTCATACTAAAAAAATTAAATGTTCTTTCAAGCCTATTCAGAAACAGATGATAAGATTTAACACAAGAGAAGAGGAAAAAATTATTTGGCAACATTTGCTCTACTTGGCACTTGAAAAAAATAGGTAGTGGTATTTATAGAAAAATATCCTCAGTGGTTGTGATATCAGTTTTTCCATTTCAATTTTCATGTTTACGCATTTTGAATTCTTTTCTGAAAAGGATTTAATGGAAGAGGAGAAAAACAAATTGTTTGGAAACATCAGCCTATTTTCATTCTTAATGTACCAAAGCATTTTATATTATAAACATATTAGCTGGTTAAAAAGAGAAATTTAAAACATTACACAAATTTTACATAATATGAAAATAAACACACTTTTCAGAAGCAAGAAATGAAGAGATGAAAAAAAAGAAATACATACTGCAAGCCACATTCCTATATCTCCTGTATGAAGCCATCCATCTTTGTCCACAGTGCTTTCAGTTTTCTCAGTATCTTTCAGATAGCCCTGGAATACTGTAAGCCCCTGGACACAAACCTATAAAACATTAATATTTAAACTTACAGCTTTAGCTTTTAATGCATAACTAGCTAACTGAATTATCATACAGAATTTTTGAACTAGGAAATATTAACGTGTATATCAAAATGTTAAAACAAATAGAACCTACATTAGCTGAAATTCTATAGTATCCAATGATAATTTTTAATTATACGAATACTGCTTATAATTCATAAAATCTTTGTGGTTAAACATATAAAAAACCTAAATACTAGCTGATACTTTTTTTTGCAAAGGTACCAGAGGAATGTTAAAGTAAAGACAAAAGAAATTACTTTTAAGTGAAATGATAAAATATAAAATAATGTTTCTGATATTTATCATTTTAATTTATACATAAAGCATTCATAATACAATGTTATTAGAATAATATGCATTAGGTGTCTGAAAAAAGTGGCTTAAAGCAGCCTAAGTACTGATCTTAGATTATTTCCATTATGAGGTTTGGCAAAATAAAATACAGAATTTTGTGAAAACAGTACAACACTAGTGTCGAAGGATTGAGGTACATTATTTTAATCAAGGCAAAGCACATGATAGCTATCTGCCTAAGAGAAGGGATACCTTAATGAAGGACTTTTAACAGAAGCTTGCACATATTCATGCCACACCACTGAAAAACCAAAAAAATATCCATGCTGTTAGATTGTTTACTAGGATTCAAACACAGGTCAAACTAACACAGTGTTTTCAGCAGTCTTAATCAGTAGGCCACTAATGGACCTGGAAAGGTTTTGTGAATGCAAAATTTAACTTTTGTATAGTCTCCATAAAGCAAAACACTCCATTAGTAAAACAATAATTGTGATTTCAAACATTAAATACAAACTGTTTCCACCTTTTCCAAACTTCAATAGGAGAGAAAATCAGGTACTTTTCTTTTTTTTTGGGGGGGGGGGGGGAATCAGAAAATGCATATACTTGAATACTTTGAAATAATTACAATACAAGAAACACTTATAAAAGTGGAGGATTAGACAAATAAAATTAATTTTTTATTAATTAAAATTGTTTTTCCCTTTGTTGAAAAATACTTCAGAAAAAATATTAATATATTATGTGTTTTACAATATTTATGACTTTGTTAAAATTTTAAAATCAAGCTATTTAAAAGTCACCAGAATAATAGATAAAAGCCATTTTAAAAGATAATTAGTGGAAAGTAAAAATTTATTTTAGTGTTAATTTTTTTTTTTTTAAATTAATATATTATTGTAAGAATGAAAGAAAGTAAAAAGAAAATTTGTAAAATATTAATTTTTGCATGAGACACTTGAGATTTCACATGAAACTAGAGCTAGTTTCATATAACTTAAAAAAATTGTAAAAGTTGATAGATATCTGTCCTAATTATTTATACGTACAATTTGAAAAGATACTAATTAATGCTATATTCTAAGCTTAATCAATTTTCTTTTTAAATCCTTTTAGCAACAGGCACTCAGAAGTTGTTTGAATTAGAAAAGTTATTCTCATATACTTTTGCAAATTCTGCAAATTAAGGTATACAAATTTTTATCTTAATATAATAGAGCACACCAAAACTTTTACTGAAAACAAAATGCATTTAAAAAAAAAATCAATACATTAAATAAATGCATTTAGGTAAGTGTACTATGCATACAAATAGCAATACACTTATCACTGTCTGTGTTTGCTTATAGGGACAGTGAAACTTCCTACTTGTATAAGATGCAAAGAGGTCTCTAAACAGGAATCATCTACAAAATGCTGACAGAATCACAGAGAAATTTTATTTACTCACTTTTCTTCCATGCAAATCAAAATTATACACATTGCAAACAATAATTTTACAATATAACTTGACTATATTTATAACCACATAAAATAAAGTACTCGTATATGACTGTAAATCATCAACGTAACAGCAAGCGTTTTGTGAGTCATCCTAAGCACACATGCCAAAGTTTCACCATTTAAGTTTCTAAAACAATATTTTATATATCACACAACATTTTGTTTTCAAGTAACATTTTATTTTGCATCATTGCATTGCATTTAAATGTAATAGCGACTGTATTTGCAAATGCATTCCTTGAACACAAAAACAAATTTCTTAGATGAAATTATTTCAATATTCAAATTATAATATGCATTATCTTTTTGATGACAATACTGAATGTGGTGTTAAATTAACAATTTTGAAAATTCTTAAAATTATTTTAAATTGTAATTATAAATTCATATTTTATACTGGAATGGTTTCAAAATTTTCACTTTTAATCTCATTCTATTTCAGAAAACTCTAAAATTTGATGACACTTTGATCAGGGGGTTACTTTTGAATTACTCATAATTTACCAACAATTGGCAAATAATTTCCCATAAGGTGAAAACTGAATATAATAGCTATATCTCGGTCTATAACATTTCCCTTCTTTTCTCATGACAGCAGACAGGATTAGAGTCAGACTTCCAAAAACACTTCCAAATCTGCAAGTCTTTTCCAAGCGAGGCTGGGCATTTGGCTACTACTATAAATTCATTTTGGTTTCTCTACTTCTTATTTTCTATATACGGATAATATTATATCTGCTTATGGTTATTACTTTCCATTCTTGTTCATGATATTATCAAGCATAAAATTTCTTCATTATAAGTATATTCGTACCTCTCCTTTACCCTCAGATGCAAAATAATTCATATCAGGAACATCCACTAATTTTATTCTACAGCATGGAATTGGAGGCCCAACATTATCTGAAAAATAAAAATGCTTTGTTACTTAAGAAAAAATATAAAGCACAATAAAAATATTAAATATTTTGATATAAGATCTTATAATTCTCTCAATCCTACATAATTTAAATTCCAGGATTAAATATAGAAAGAATACCGATAAAAATATCTTATTCACCCTTATTTTTATTTGATCGAAATTCGAAGTCTAAAAAAACAAAAATGACATATTTCTATTTAATTTCAACACTAAGCATGTTCTTTATAAAAAAAATCAACTCTCAATCTTATAGTATATTTCAAAATAAGAGCTGAATTACTTTAAACTGGAAAACAAGTTAAAAGGCTTTAAAGGCAAAAAATTACACAGGAAAAAGCTAATAGCATATATTAATGGAAACATTCTAATGCTATATGCGAGATAAAACATAACAATATCTAATCCTAAAAAAAAATACTGTTTAACTCATTTACTGATCTTTACTAATTGACAGAACTTATTGTATAATAATATCTTTAATTTTTGGCAGACATACATATACAGTCAAAAGTCGTTAATCCGGACACCCATAATCCAGAATGATCTATAATCCGGACCTCAAAGCTACAAACTTTCTGCACATGCGTCAACACATAATACATTGACGCAAGCGTGTAATACCTTTACGCATGCGCGTAATATGTTTATGCATGTGTGTTTAATGTATAACGGACGGCATGAGCTATACTAAAATTATCTGATTATCTATTTCAGTTAATGTTGCAGATTGAGTTGTTCCTTAATCATCAAATTGGATCCAGCTTATTATTTTTTGCAGACTGTTAGAGCAATTTTATAAAAGTAAGTTGGAACTTTCGATTATGTCAAATAGAATTTCTGATGCTGGATCTACAAAGGGAAAGCATGTTTCGATGTTCATCAAACAAAAATGATAGCTTATAATGTAGTATTTCATCTCGATGTACTCCGTCTTTGACATGATTTAAATCAAATTCCTCGACGGTATAAATATCACGAATACAAATCAAATAGTTTTCTGGTTACAATTTTCTAATTTCGACTATGCATAATGTATGCTTTACACATGCGCGTGTTGAAAGAAATGTTTAATAAAGTAAACAAATAAATATTAAGTTTTTTTTTGTAAATTTTGATACCCTTTAGATCATAATTGCTCTTTGTTTCATAAATTACGGTTTCATATTTTTAATTTTATAATTTCTGCATGCCATCTTAAAAGATTTAAACTGATGATCTATAATCCGGAAAAGTCGATAATCCGGAATTGTAGAAGTCCCGACGAGTCCGGATTAAAGACTTTTGACTGTAATATTCAAGAGGAAATAGGATATATATTTTACACAGGAAAGATGTAGCAAAATGACAGTAACCGGCAATGCAACCGAGATTATAGGAATATACAGCATAAAAGCTCTTGTATTCATTAACTTTAATTGAAAAATATATACAGTACAAAGTCCATAATACGGACTCGTCGGGACTTCGTCAATTCCGGATTATAGATCATCAATTTAAATCTGGTAAGATGGCATGCAGAAATTATACAATTAAGAATATGAAACCATAATTTATGAAATAAAGAGCAATTATAATCTAAACGGGTATCAAAATTTACAAAAAAAAGCTTAATATTTATTTGTTTACTTTATTAAATATTTCTTTCAATGTAAGTTGTTTAAGTTGCTTCATTTTTTGTGCTAATACTTTCTCTTTAATTCTATAAGTAGATATAACTTCTTGTTCAGTTACAAAGTTGCACCTATCGCAAGCGATATTTTCTGGATCTAGAACCATACTAGAGATTTCGCCGTCTGTTAATTGATTGATGATTGGGGCATTGTCGCCGCAATAAAAAACTCCTGTTATATCATCTTCATTTATTACCGCTTCTCCACATTTCTTTACAAAATCCAATAACTGGAAAATTTTACATTTAGTTTGCAATGTCCAAAAACCTTCAAATTCACGGCTATCATCTTCATCGTCCTCACCATGAAATATGATAGCTGGCCATAAATTATGCCAAGCATTTTTTAACGTATCTGGAGACATCCTCCCAACGTGCATGCGTAAATGCATTACGCGCATGCTTAAAGCATACAAAAAAAAAAGTTTGTGGCTTTGAGGTCCTGATTATAGATCATTCCAGATTACGGATTTGTACTGTATTTTTTTTCCCTTTGACTTTCCCAATACTACTAAGGAGATAAGTCGCTTACGAAACTAGTACTAGAATAAGGCTAAAAACATTTTAAATATAAATACTATTACAGTAGAAGATAATAATCCGGCACGTTCGGGACCGGCTCGATGCCGGACTACCGAAAATTCCGGTCTATTGGGCGGTAATTATAAGAACAATTAGGTTAATAATTAAACTAAAAATACAGTATGCAAATACATACAACAAAGTTTATTTTACATTTCATATAATGTATGTACACGTACTGTAAAACATATTTCATTTTGATTTAAAAAAGTCACGAATGTCTTTTTGTTTTCTTGACTTTTGGCGTTTAGTATAAAATTTATTTCTAATGATATGGAAATGAATAATTTCTGAAGCACTGTAGCTAGTACTAGCCTCGGCAAAAGAGATTAAACTTATTTAGTGATTCTGCAGCTTCTGCCCAGCTGATTTTTTCCTTTTCTTCCGTTTCGGCATCTGAGTCATTTTCTTCAAGATTTTGAGTAGGCTGAGGGTTTACTACAATGTTGATAATGTCCTCATCGGTTAGTTCTTGTTCAACAGGCTCATTCTCGTCGATTAAAAGCCACTCCTCTACCTCATCTTCAGGCAGGTTTTTCAAGGGATTGTCAGTACTTCTAACGACATCCAAAACTTTGGTCAGAGCATCTTGATGATTTTCTTCCTCATCAGTCTGTAGAGTTAGGTCAAGATGCAGGGTTTGCAGCTGGCCAAAGTCTTCTCCAGCATTTTTGGAGTGTTGTATTTTTTAACTGGTTCCAAGACCTAGCCGTTTGATGATTTCTAGTTTCTGATTAAGAGTCAGTGTTACGTGTTTTCGTTTCTCTCCTTTTGAACTCGAAGGCTTAGGTTTTGAAACATGGTCACTGTACAGTTAGAACAAAAATCACTTTTTTTTGTAAACAGTTTCAAAAGTTACGTACTGCGATGTGAAAGGACACAAAACAACAACGCACAAAAAATGGCGAAGACGCTTCGTGATTGATTAACGGAGCTGCACTGCACCTGAATTTGTTGTGACAGCTGAGACTAGCCAGCCGCTAATTGTTTCCGAACAATACCGAGCGCTTCCGGATGATTTCGAACTACCCTGAAAACTTCCGAATAGCTCTCGAGCGGTTTTATTTGCTTTAAAGACACACTTTTGGAGAAAAAAAAATTTTTACAATTTTCCGGAGCGATGCTGTACTATCAGGCATTCCGGACTGTTGGATGCCGGACTAATGGACTTCTACTGTAATAAAATACTGAAGATAAACCTAACAATCAATATTATTAGATTTGTCTTAAAGACGTGTAATCAAACTTCATTATGATGACAACAAGGCAATAAACAATGCATAAATGAATTCAGCAAAAGATCTGTCACATATCTATGGTTAACAAAAAGTGTATCAATATTCAATGATGCTATATATTTTCTAATTAAAGAACTGATTTTATTTCCTCAAATTCAGATTTTAAACATAATAAAGATTAAAAAATAAAGAAATCCTTTCAATGTTTTAGAATTTCATACTTGTGAAGGCGGGATAAGTCAATTCAGTAGTTAAGGGAGTTTATTCAAAATTTACTATTTATAAAATAAATATGAAAAATGATTTATAAATTTAAAAAAGAAGGTTTTTATTATTTGTATTTATTATGTGATTTTTAAAGCAGGAAAGCAGTTGCAGATTAATATAACATTGGACTATGAACACATATTAAAATACATCAATATACAAACTGAGATTTCAAATTTCACTAACTATCCTCTTAAAATAACAGAGCTACAAACAACTTATGAATGGAAGTAAATATAAGAAATAAAAGAAATGATATAAAACAGAGAGAATTTAGAGATTATAGCTATTCAAATTTTAAAAATATAAGCAAAGAGTAATGTATTATTTTTCAAATAGTAACAAATATGGCATTATTATTAAGTTACCAATTAAGAAGGAAATCAGCAATAACATTTAAATTCATATAATTATACATACCAACACTTGCATCACCTGGTGTAGTCAATGTGCATGGAGCAACACACTCTGTCTGTCCATACCCAACAACGATCTACGGAAAAATATAGATCCACTTAAAAAGGATAGTAAATCAAGAGAGAACAGATGTAAATCAGTATAAGGAAAAAAATTAAATACAATAATTCTGCACTGAGGTGCAGGCAAAGGGAAATTAAAAAGTTAGGAGGACTAAAAATTAGGTTAATATAGATGGAATTTTCACTCACTGTTATGCAGTTCTTTACAAGACTTTATTTTGGCAAATATAATATCTATACTTAATTATTAAAAAAAGTAAAGAAGAAGAAAAATAGAGGATATAAAAATAAAAAAAGTCAACATCTTACTGAAGTCAGCCGAAATTCCAAAGATGAGTGAAACTGAAATTCAAACTATGATGATATATTTCTGTTTGATGGACATGTTGATACATTCATAAAAATTTGTTTGAGACAAAAAGAGATAGGATTGTACCACAGTTGCCAAATACGCAGCAAATTGTGCTGAAGGAATTTCCTATAAAGACCTCCCCTGCTTCAGTCATCCATCCACATCAATAACAGAGGAAATGATTAACAAAAAGAAGAAAATCATTATGTCAAGGAGATGACAAAAACTGAACATATAACACCATCTGGTGAAAAGTATTCTGACACTCTAATAAAGAAGTGGATCTGGCAGGTGACATAATCTGATGCATAACCAAAAGCTAGAAGAGTGCTGGTAGAGGTTTGTCAGGTCATAGTTATGATGTGCTTGTGAGACAACGAGTAAGTCAAAGGAGCTTAGTGACTTGCGGCAGTATACAACAAAGTAGGAAAACTTAATACAGTAGGAAAACAGTTTGTGAAATTTTTGACATTCTAGAGAAGCCAAAATCCACTGTGAGTGATGTAACTGTGAAGAGGAAATGCTGAAGCAGTGAAACTGCAGAAAAACGAAGTGGTAGGCTGGAAAAAATCAGTAAACACAGCTGTAGAACTCTGGAAAAGGTAGTGAAACAAAATCCCAAGTCTTTGTTGGTTGAAATCACTCAAGAGTTCCTAAGGTCATCAGGCGTCAATGGTAGCAGCTGGACTGTTCATCAAGAGTTAAAAAACTGGGATTTCATGGTCATACAGCCACTCACCAAGCCAAACCTCACTACCCAGAATGTGAAGTGTCGATTACAGTGGTGCAAAGCTCACTGTAATTGGACTGCAGACATGTGAAAAAATTTTTTTTTTGGAGTGATGAATCTCGCTTTACAATCTGGCAGTAAAATGGATGCACCTGGGTTTGGCGGATGCCCAGCGAGCACTTGTTAAATGACTGCATTGTGCCAATGTAAAGTTTGGTTGGGGGCAGCATCATGGTGTGGGTGTGTTTTTCATAGTTTGGTCTAGGTACCTTAGTTCCAGTGACTGGAAACATGAACTCTGAGATGTATGTGGACATTCTGGACAATACTGCTCTCTTAACTCTATGGCAATATTTCAAGAAACTCCCATTTCCCTTCCAGCAGGATAACTGCTCCATTCACACATCGAGACTTGCACAGCCATGGTTTGACGAAACGGGGACTCAAAACTGGATTTGCCTTAAAAGAACCCTGATCTAAATCCCACAAAACACCTCTGGAATAAATCAGAATGCAGATTACATAGCCAACGAAACTTATCACCTATTGCAAGCATTCACTTTAGCTATGATGGATACCTGGAAGTCAATTCCTATGACCACCTATCAAAAACTGGTGGAAAGTCTCCCCAGACATAGGCAGGCTGTCATCTATACAAAAGAGGGAACAACATCATATTAATATAATAATTGTACATGCCATAGGACTCTCCGAATCCGTACCTCTGGGTGTTCAGATACTTTTGGTCAGACAGTGTAGTACAGACTCAAGGTAGAGATTTCTTTCACAGCTTAGAAATAGTTTTATGCCAAAAGCACTTCAAGATGAGAAAAGTCTTAGTCTATTGGTTGGGGAAGTGAACAAAAGAAACCTGATGAGAATTTTGGGGATTATTTTAACAAAATTTCAACTAAATAGAAAAGAGGTTTTATACAGCTATATGACCATCAATAAAATTCTGATACACCAGTTTGGTCCTTAAAGAAAACAAGATGACATATGGCTTGGAAACTTGGAGATATGCCTTTTCTCCAGTCAGCAACAAATGTCATGAGTTAGCATCATTACCCAAAGTTATGAAGATTGTATTCTGGGATGTTAAAGGGTTGTTGATAACTGATTACTTTGAGCATAAAAAATAAATACAAGCAAGTATTATGCATAATAACAGCAAAAACTATATGAAAAATCTAACAGATGATGAAAGGAAAAGCTATTAACAGAGCTCTTCCTTTGCAAAGATAATTTCTGCGACAAGATCCCACTTCATACCTGACCTGTTATGTTAGTCAGATCTTACTTCAAGTGATTTTCTTTCTGTTTAAAAATCTGAAGAAAGGCCTTTGCAGGATGCATTTTGCAAGTGATAATGATGAAATGAATTAGTTGCTAAACAGTTTTTAAAGCATGATAAAGAATTCCTCTCCAGATATTAGATGCACCACACAAATGCAGAAGAACTACTTTGACACAGAAAGGGATTAGTTTAAAAATATATTTGTTCACCTAGTACTATTTCTTATTGCATATTTTATTAATGTTTTGATTACCTCTCTTAATATATGGCATTAGAATTACCATTTGTTAAATTAGAATTTACTGATTATGATAACAGCGCAAAGAAGCATAAAGGTTATCAGTTGGATATACTATAAATTATATACAGTGAATGAATTACAAATTATACTATTTAAAGTATATTATAAAAAGCTATAAATTATAGAGAAATATATTTACTAATTTTAAATTATTAAGCAACCACAGGTTGAAAAATATCTTACACCACAATGAATAGTAACACACTATGCTAGTTATCTAACAAGCTACACAAAAGTTATATATTCTATTAAATTTTCTAAGGTTAAAAAAAAGCACAAGTCAAATTCATGAAATAGATGAGTTTCTCGAAACTTCAGAGTGCATAAAGAAGGAAAATATTTAACAACACTGTCATCTTTTCCTTTATAAAGATGCTGTTCTTTTCAGAGAAGCAATATTTTACTGAAGAACAGAAAACATTCTACACACATTTGAAAAATATAAAATAAAAATGCATTAAAAATGTTTAAAAATTAACAATTATTATTTTGTATCCATCATAAAAGATGTTTTGCATTTCTAAAAAAAGTTAAATTACTAACAATTGAAAAATAACTCATAAGATTAATTCAGAAGTCAAACAACAAAAATCAGCGTTATATTTTTCAAAATTTTCACAGAACTAGTTTCAATGGTTTTACCGAACCACCATCCTCAGCTGCAAAACCGCAAATGAATGAGATAGGATATAATGAGCAGATAAGATAAGAAAGCCTGGACAAGAATAAGCAAGTGGCGCCATCTTTTGAGGAAACCAGAACTAAAACAAAATTTCTTTAAAGGCCGAAGGCAAAGTTGGATTGGAATTGGGATCGTTAACTAGAACAGAAAGATTTTTTTGAATGTAAAATGCCTCTAGAAAATCCATTTCTCCAATGGAAGATGTTTTTTGAATAATTTTGGCAGCAGAAAAATTGAAAGTGTGATTTTCGGAACAACAATGTTGAGCAACAGAAGACTTCTGTGTTCCTTTTTTCTAACATATGCCTCATGTTCCGTGATGCAAAATTTTAAGGCTCTCTTTGTTTGGCCAATGTAAATTAACCACACTGGCAAGGAATCCTATAAATACCCCAGGAATTCATATCCGGAACGGGATCCTTGAGTTTGGAACTCGGAATTTTATTGATGGGAGAATAAATGACCCGAAAGTTAAATTTCTTCAAAATATGTGCAACTTTATAGCTAATTGATGGAAAGAAGGGAATGACAACAGAATTTTTATAATCTCCTAAAACAAGAGTGTGCCTTTTAGTGTGTTGAGATGAGAATTTTTTAACTGCTTGATTAATAATGTTGGGTGAAAAGCCCCTGTCAATAGCTATTGTTTTTAAATAATTTAGTTCTTCATCAAGGGATAGTTTGGAGGAGCAAACTTGAAGAGCACGGAAAACATAGGAATAAAATGAAGCTAAATTTTGTTTAGTCAGATGACATGATTTAAAGTGTGGTGGAAGGCAAACGGATGAAGGTTTATGGTAAACCGCAGTACTGAAGTTGGATGTGTTACGTGTAACCAGAATGTCAAGAAACAGAAGATCTCTTCCCTGGAGGGTCCAGGAAGGTTGTCCAGGGAATTTGGTATGCTGTAATTCAGTAGCCTAAGGTACCCTAAGCATGCTCAATAGTGTTCAAGTTGGGTGGGTATGGTGGCCAGTCCATTCAAGATATAACTTCTGTTTGCAAGTATTCTGACACCACATGTGCTCAATGAGACCGAGCATTATCATTCATTAGTGAAAACTCTGGCCCAACAGCACCTTTAAACAGTCTAACATACGGTTCTGATATCTCATCTATAAAGAGGTCTCAAAGGTCCCATATCTCTGAGCAATTACAGAACCTCCTTCAAGAAAATCCAGCTCGTTGTCATACTTCCTCCCCAAACCAATAAACCGTGGTATGGGAATGGGATATTTCATGGAAAAGGAAAGGCAAGTTCTATGTTCCTTCCTCTCTCCAGATCAAAACACATCTAGAATCATTGTTCAGATTATATTAGGACTCGTCAGTAAACAGTGCTTGGGCCCAGTCGTTTTGGCTTCATTGAACATGATGATTGAACCAAATTAAGCCGACTCCTCTTAAAGCTAGTGTAAGTGGGACAGAAACCACTGGTTTTCTCCCACACAGTTCAACCTCGTGAAGCCTTCATGCAGCAGCAGAGGGCTAATTTAAGTTCTTGTGGCAGCCTGAAGATCTAAATCCAAATTGCTTGTAGTTGCTTTCCTCTTGAAATCATAGTTTCTTTGAGCCAACAACGACAGAAAACAGTCTTCTAATGCTGTTGTTGCTCTTGGTTGCCTTGACCAGGCTGTCTATCAACTGATCCAGCACTTAAAAAGCGACTCCAAACTCTTGATATGACACTTTGAGGGATACTAAAATCTTCGGCGACCTCCATCTGTGTTTGACCTCCTTCTACCAATTATCAGCCACTTTTGACCTTCACTTAAATGATGCTTTTGAGCCCTAATGACTGAAATCAAATTATCACTTTAAATAATACTAGAGACTAGAAATCCAACATGTGTTCACGGCACACCACATTGTCAGTCAATCTCTGAATTTGCATATTTTCAATGCTAATATATGTGCGGAAAGGCAATTTTGTATTTAATTGTAAAAATTGCAATTTTGTATTTAATTGTGAAATTAACATAAATAATTACAGCATTGGGCATTGTTTGCAACATTAACTTAGCGGTACATTTTTTCCTCACTATGCTTTAATTCTGATGACTAGTGAAGTTTGACTAGTTTAATTTTGATGACTAGTAACTAGTTGAAAATAAATCAAAATATTTTTTTATCTTCTAAAATTACTACAACAATTAAAAAAAATAAATCATACTTCTATATGGAAATGATTGATTCCAAATGGAATTCCATATGGATTAACCATATGGAATTAATCATTTCATATGAAAATTCAAATATTCATGCTTCCATATAGAAAAGACTACTCTGTGGCACACACTAATATGTAAATGAGATTAAATTCTACAAACACATTTCTTATTTAATTCCAATATCAACAGCAAAAAATTAGAAAAAATCCTATATTTGTAAATATTACTTACGACACAACCAAGCGCACAACGAAGGAATGTTAAAATGTGGCCTGCAATGGGAGCAGATCCAACAACTATTAACCTCAGTCGACCACCAAGCTTATCTTGAATTGGTTTTAGAACTGTCCAGTCCCATATACTATTATTGCGAATTATGTCTCTACAACAACAAAAATAAAAAATAATGAATAATACAGCAATATTATAAATTTTTGATACATTCACAATTTTTTTTCACATTTTATATGTAACATTGCTAAGCAATCTTCATACATATAGTCTGTCCAATACACACATAAACTTGAGGTCATAGATACTTTATTGCACAGTATTTAGAGCACATCAATCTTATCTCCTTTAAAGCATTCTCATTTAGCAGCTACACACTTGTTCTATCCCTTTTTTCACTGTCCAAAATATCCCTGAAAGTTCTCAGAAATAATGCTTCTCTGCTACCTCATTGTTTCATGTTTTATCATCTCCACATCATTCAACTGTCAAATTTGATTTAAGAGGGTGGTGGTAAAATGAACCAAGGGGTGAAACTTTGGGAGAAAGTCCTTACAATGAAGACTTTGATAAAAACCGTATCAGTTCTTGAGTTGAAATGGAAGTTATTAGATAACACATTGCAACATTAAAGACAGTTCTGTAAAACAGCATATCAGCAAAAGAAATACCTTATCAACAATAACAGGGCTTTTGACTCGATTGGGTTCACAGCTCTTGTTAATCCAATTCTTTCAGTAATGCTGGAAACAGATGATTTCACAGGATATCACTACCTAAAGTTCATGGTGCCATTTATTCATAAATATGTTAGCCAGAAATAGCCATTTTGTAACTCAAGCACATTTTTCAATTTTTAGGGGGGAGATTAGAAATAGAAGAATAAGTACAGTACTTATTATTTTGATTTCTGTTTTGCTTATTTTTGCAATTATTGGTAATATTATGACATGATTAATTTCTACATTTATCAATGGTATTTCTTATTGTGCTTTTCAATTTTATTAATGTATTTTGTTTTGGGGAAAATTATTTCAGTGCATTATAAACAGCTATAAATTTGGAAGACTGACTTAATGCAGGAGTATTATTCTGAATTATCTGAGAAATAATTAGATACAAAAAATTCAAAGATAAATGCACTTTCAAATGGTCTAGAACAGTGGTTCTCAACACTTTTTACTCCATGCACCCCTTTCACTGCTGCTAAATGTTCATCTCCTTCTTTTTAAACCTCAAAAAATACACATGCATTTATTTTAGATTATTTTTTAGTGTGTTTTGATAAATTAAACTAAAAAAGTTTTAGAAAATGCTAATCAATACCAAAACTTGAATAAAAGTAGTATTTTTATATTCATAAACTAAAACTAAATTCTTAACAGGTGAATAAAAGCCTGATCACATTTCCCCTTGTAACTAAGAAATTTCCCTCTTGGGGGGATTTCCCCCCTGTAGTTGAGAACCTCAGGTCTAGAAGGGCAGAAATGTTAATAAGTATTACCTAATCATTGCATTGGCCTAATGAAAAAAGGCTAATATCCCCTGACAAAGTCAGCTTTGTTTCATTGAATCAGTAATAAATAATAATTTTTAATTTAATTGAATATGATCTTGAAAATTCGGAAAATCTTTTGACTTAAATTTACAATAGTTTTTTTTTCCACACCATTATTTTCCCAAATAATCTGGGTTTAATAAATCTACAATTATATATAAACTATTGGTTTCAAAGAAAATAATATATTAAATAACCTACTACAATATAAAACATGTATACATGTTTTAAATTTCCATACAAAAGGAAAATTAAAATTTGAATTGTGCTCTCCCCAAAACCCATGAACACAGTTAGCTAAATAATCCCAGTTAAAACTCTTAAGTTTGAAATCCAGTTGACAGGTCTGATACAGTGTTGAATCTGTATATGGAAATGAAAATGAAAGTGTAAATAATAATTAAGGAAATCATTAGAAAAAACAGCATAACTATAAAATATTATCGGAAAACTTTTTTGCATAATATTGAAAGACACTATAGCTCAAAAGTGCAAATAACAACTATTAAATACTGATGGTAATTGTATCTTTTACCTTGAAATGCTCTGTAATACTACCTGATTAGTTAGAAAAAATGAAGTACAGAAGTGCTTAATTTTCCCAAACTAAATTTTACCAACAATTTTCCAAATGAAACACAAATCTCTTCTTTAAATTTCTGACTTTTCTACATTTCAATAATATTTTTAAAAAATTCAATATTTTATAATATATTTTTTTTAATCTTACAGATAGAAAACTTTAAAATGTCAATATACAAAATGTAAAAATGTTTCAACAATAACAAAAAATAGTTTAAATGAAGAAAGTAAGCATACTTTTCAATTTCACTCTTTTTACTTTCTATTGCCATATTCAGCAACAACTTTTTAATTTTGCTGGAATTTGCTTCTTCCTGAATCTGCAAAAACAAAATTAAGGATGATCTATCATATTTTATATCAAAATAGAAAATTCTAAAACAGTACCATATTTATTTGAATATAAGGCTCTCCTTACATTTTGGGATAAATTCCATGAAATAAAAATGTAGATGACTATTTGATGAGAGCAATGATGCTGGTAAGAATGAAAAATGAGCTACCTATTTCAATATAATATTTTACAATGGTATAGAAAGAAAAATTAAGGAAAGTTAATGATGCATTTAATTTAGAAGTCAAACTATAAAAATCAGCGATATATTTTCAAATTTTCACAGGACTAGTTTCAATGGTTCTACCGAACCATCATCCTCAGCTGCAAAAGCGCAAATGGACGCTGATTTTTATACTGCTGGTTATATATATAATATAACGCTGATCTTTGTTGTTTGACTTGTAAATTAATACTTGCTTGGCATGTCTTCAAGATATATTGTTAGCTGTTTGTTTTCAGGCATACCAGTGACTAGTAGTAACAGTCTAAACTGAATGACATATGAATATGCGGTTTATAAATAAACCTGTATTTGGTTGGTATAATAAGTATTTGTAGTTAAATACTGAAATATTTAAATAGTGCAATTATTCTACACAGTTTGATAATTAAACTCTTTCCTCTCGTTTTGCAATTTCATTTATCAAAATATCAAATTATAAGACCCTTTCAAATTTTAGAACAAATATAGTAAAAAAGAAGAGCTTATTTTTGAGTAAATATGGTAATTTTTTTAGTCCCAACCTTGCTTACAAGCACTTCACTCACTCCAGAAATATGTAAATGAGAGATAAATATAGCTGCAAATAATAGCAAGCAAGAACTACTCCTATGCTTTTATGAAGAATTAAAGATGTACTTAAGCATCTAGCATTAATTAAACTAAATGCTATTAACAAAATGCAGTATCTAGCATTTAATTAACCTAAATGCTATTGACAAAATCAAGAACATCAACACACAATGTACTGCAATGCCGCACTGGAAAAGATTGACAGGCTCTATTCCTGAGTGGAGAGTTGAGTTACATAAAGTCTTCTTGTAACATCGATTTTGACATCAATGCAATTGCTACAAATTTTAAAATTTGATATTATGCCTTGATCAATTGGTTGGATTAATAAAGTTGAGCTTGATGGCAGGAAAACCACTACTGGAATGCATGCAAGTATGAATCAAACAAATATGCTGGATGGCTTGAAGCATTATCAGAAGTAAAGCTTTTGGTTCAATTTTTTTAAATTCACAAAAGTGTTTTAAAGACAGAAAAAAATGTTCAGTAAACCACTTCTGAAAAATTTATATAGTGATTAAAGATTTTTATCGAACACCCAAATTACTGGTAAAAATGATTTTGAAATTCTCTTCAGTTTCCTTGGGGTTCTGGAATGATAAAAAAACTTGTTTTAATTTAAGGTCTCCAATGATGTTAACACTAGTAGAAGTGTTAAATGATCTTTGGTGACTTTAAATCCTAAAACAACCCAGCAGTACCAGCATTGTGTGCAATTTCAGAAAATCCCAATACTATCGCGTAATGAAATTGTGTTAAGTGCAGCATCATTAAGTGCGGTCTTACTGTATTATACATATATATATTACTACATTTGATAAACTATATTGATATTTATTGGATACGATTTGATAGCCACATAACCCTTTGCACGAGGACAAATTTATTCACTGACAGAATACACTGAACAGCTGGCACTGTTCACTTTAAATTCAAGTGTTTAAATTCACTTTTCAAGATTTAACTGTATATTTTGAAGTTTCACTTCATTTTAAACATTCTTTGAAGGTTACCACTTTTCATAAAACATAAAATTTTGCATTAAGAAATGTGAACTCGTATTCAGGGGGGAAAAAGAAACTCATAAACTCAGATTGCACAGCATTATTAGACTTGATCAATAATATTAATTCTCATATCAGAATTATTCAAAAAACTGTTTCAATTGGCAAATCAGATTTCCTAGAAGCTAATCCACATCCATAAAAATCTTCCCAATTCTATTAATGATATTATGTCTAGTCTTTTGTTTCTTCCACATTTAAACAGCTTAATTTGTTTTTGCATCACTCATTTTTCTTTCATAACAGATAACTCTGTTCAGAAGTTCCATACAGTTTGAATGAATAAATCTATTTCACCCAACGATCAGAGGAAATACTTTTGGAGACTGAAGCAAAGATATAGAAATAAGAAATACATTGATTGCTACACAATAATATATAAGAAACTCCTAACTTCAACATACATTTTGTTTAACTTTTAAAAAATACCTCGGTTTAAGAAGTACTATTTACTTTTGAGAACTGATAACAAGTAATGTAAACTTATCACAAGAAAAGGCATCAATCACCAATAAACTAATTACTGTACAGCAAAATAAGGAATAGTCCTTACTTTATCATACATCCGGTTTAACAAGCGAGGCACACAAGGTATTACAGTAGGCTTTAAGGTTTTAAAATCATCACTTAAGTTTCGTATATCGCCCTGGAAAAAACCAACTCTACCTCCTGTCATATACAATCCAACCTAGAAAATAAATGTTTAAAAACAAAATTAAATACATTTAATATTTTATGTATTATTATACATACCACAAAGGCCGAATTCAGAAAATTATTTGAAAAGTATTACAAGGATTAATTTATGATAATGAATCCAAAAGCTAGTTACACTGTGAAAGCATGTGTTTAAACAGGAATTTTAAAGAGATTCATGAAATAACAATTTTAAAAGATAAGTGATTTTGCTTGTGCAGAAACAGCTTTATTAAAATTTGATTTATCATATTAACATTCAGAAAACTTTCATTTTCAATTATGACCTAAGTTTTTAGGTTGTAATATTAAAAATATATGATTTTCTTTTAGGTTTGGTTTATTTGATTATGGCAAAGCAATTGAGGGCTATTTTCCTAAGGGATGCCTGAGGGAAACCAATTCATATACCGGTTATATATGGGGTAAACCATGAAAATGCCCTTTTGCTGGGATACAAACCTTGGACCAAATTACCAGTATTCAGGAACTTTACTTAAATTAGCAACAGCACCTTAATTCTTCATTTTAATTTGGGTATTTCCTCTGTTTATTCTAAAAATAGTAACTGCTTATAATAATTTTTTCTGAACTATGCCATTTCTAGATTAAATAACATCCTATGATTTTTTACATAATGCTGGTGATGTAAACAAAATTCATACAGACAATAATAATTTTAGAGCTTTATTAATTATCCAATCAAATGGGTTAAAACTGAAAATAACCGATTCTGAAACTGAAAGTAACCCATTCTGAAAATCCCCATGTGTTCCCGATGACCAAAGATTTTATCAGGAACATATCGCACTTCACTTCTGCTTTTTGGCTTAACTATACTGCTGCTGTGCAGCTGTCTTTTTAATGCAATGATCTCAAGAATGTAACTGTTTGGGTGGTGTATTTAATTATGGCAAAGCACACTAGGGCTATTTGCCTAAGGGGAGGGATGCCCTCGTGGAAGACTTTCTAAGGGAAACTGGCTCGTACACACGTTACACATGGGGAAAACCATCAAAAACACCCATGCAGCCAGCCCATTCGTGAGATTCGAGCCTTGGACCGAAATACCAGTCTTCAGCGACTTTACCGCTCAGCAGCTGGTGGGCCGGAACTGATTGGGAACAGGCATGATTAATGAGCCACGGTTCTGTGGCTGCAAAACTTTGAATTAAAATAAAAGAAATATAATTTAAAATCTGGAACAACTGCCTCTTATTAAATCTGCTTTAACTGCAAGTTTGTTTTCATAATGAATCTTCTATGAAAGCAATCAGCATTTCTATATCTACATCATCATCGTCTATCTCACTCACACACACACACATATGTAAGATAAAAAAATATGTAAAAGATAAATTATAATTTAAATTAGCAATAGCCTCTTAATGCTAAAATTAAATTTAATTCCTCTCTTTATTCTTAAAAAAAAAAAATGTTTTTTTCTGAATTGCATATTTCTAGACCAATCCATATTATATAACTTGTATAACACTGATGACATAGCTAATCTGGAACCTGAATTCAAAATTTTGAGAACAGAAACCTTTCTCTTGCTGAGCTGCCATAATGGATAACTGCACTCTTCTACTTCTACTCTTGTTATCACCAAGATGCTGCTTTTCAGCTTTCTTGCTATTGCAACAGCATTAAAAATGTAAATGTTCTTAAATGGGCATGATTACAGAGCCAAATGAATTGTGGCTGCAAATGCCAATTGAAATAAAAGCAAATATTTAATCTTCCTCAACTGCCAAATTTCCTATTCATCACGGATATACAATCAACATTCTATGCCATCAGTATTGCAAAATCTTTTTCTTAACACACACATATATAACTGGTACTCCAAACATATTAAAACGGGTTATAGGTAACACAATAATTAATCAAATAAATAGAATAAAAAATATTTGCATAGAGACAGACCACTTAAAAGATTAAATAATTCTACTTAACAAGTACTTATAGAAGAATTAATTTTTTGACAATTTATTAATTTTTTTTTAAATAAGTTGGCATTAATTAGCAAATTTAATCTTTAACCCTTTGAAAGGCACTGGTATATAAAATATACTGGTTTACCAGTATATAATATATACAGGTTGTTTGTCAATTTTTTTAACCTAAAAAAAAAAAATGCTAATTTCTCTACACTAAAAGCTATAATCGTAAGTTTCTAGTGTTTCCTTTTGATTTTAAATAGCAGCACCATCCTATTGATGCTCAATATTTTGCAGTTATGAATTAATATACCTCATTTTAAGGTATCATGTTTGAAGATTGATAAATTCTATTGGAGGGAAAGAAAAAATTCAAAATCTGTAAATATATGACGTACACATGCCGAACCTTTTATATTTACTGCATTTCAATCAAAACTGATAATTAAAAGAAGATTATGTATACGTTTTTAATACCGGTCGTCGCCCCAACTGAGGGAATTTTGCCAATAGTTGGCAGCACCAGGCTTCTTCTTCTCTACTGTGTGAGATGACAACATTTCTTTGCATCATAATAGTTTATGATGTAATAATTTGTTTATGATTAATTTACAAGTTGTTTAGGATTCCGTATTATGTTCATGAAGGGATGGGGAGTTACTGACTCTGCACTAGAACTTAATACAAGTACCGTAATTTCGCGCGTATAGTCCGCGGACTAACTGTGTTTAAAATGCGAATTTTTGAAGCTGCGGACTATCCGCCAGTGCGGATAATACGCTGGTTGTTCACGGTTAAAATTGTTGAAATTTAAAAAACACGCTGTCGTGGACTGCCGATGATCAAATATAAAAAAAGCGCGAGATTCCAAGTGTCCTTCGCACTGCTTTAGCACAACTGCCGGGAGGGAGAAAAGTAGTTGATGCGTCAGCTCGGTTTTTAGGAGCCATAGTAGAAAGTACCTGGAGTACGAAAAAAAAAAAGCGTGATTCGTTTACTTATAGCGTGGTTTGGCAACACCGAGTGAGTGGGGTCGAAGGTCACATTTCATTACCACTTATCACGAAGATAGCACGTTGCACAGTATTTTGTTTTCGTATTTTGTCTTTCATCTTCGCTAACGTTGATGAAACATCGCCGGAGATTTACTGCTGAGAGGTTTTAAACTCAAGGTAGTTGAGAAAAAAACTGAAAAAGATGGAAATAGAGAAGCGGGCCGTTATTGGTTTAATCCTAGTATCCGGTGCACACGGGATTTGACTACTTTTGGCGACTTTATGATGAGCAGTAAAAACGGGACATATACGATGAGTAGTTAACGGGTCATTCAAAGAAAAAATATAGTTTAAACGTAGTATATAGTATATATACTATGCGTGTATAGTATATATATAGACGTTCTTTGGATCATTTTTGGGTGTTGGCGATAATTTTCAAAGTCGCGCCAAGGCTGCACCGTATACTAGGATTTTACTCCGTTATTTTGAAGTGGACAACAAGAAGCGGTGAGAAATTTGCGCAAAAGGATGTGTTTTAAAAAGCATGGGAATATTGCCGTATTAAAAAAACGTAATTTCGGACGTATAGTCCGCGGACTATCTGACAATTTTTAATTTTTTTTTTTTATATAAAATCGTGTCTGCGGACTATACGATGGTGCGGACTATACGTGCGAAATTACGGTATATTTGTTTCTTTTTATTCTTTTTTTACTCTGCACGAGTTTCATTCGTCTTTATTTAGTTAAAATTTTAACTTCGGCACTTCGCCCTTTCCCAAGAGAAAGACTCATCTATTTAAAAATTGCAATCTGAGGTCAGAATTTTACACAATTGTAAAGGTTAAATGTGGCATGTTAGCCCCCAAAAGACACCCCCTTGTTTCGTATTTTCCAAAATCCTAGAATCCAACGAAAATGAAAGGAGGTGATTGACAACCGATTTGTCATTCGAGAGTCACGCCTTCTTCCATTTGTGTGGTGTGATAAGATCACACAAAGAGAAAGCTCACTTAAAAATACGGGAAATGGAAGTGCACTTAAGGTCCATCTCTTAGTGTAATTACAAAAACTGCTAATTTGAAAGCATGCTTTTATTCTTATCGTCTTTGTTAATTTCAGATGAAAGACTAGGGAACGTAAGAGAAATTTAGGGTTAGGTTACAAATAGGTTGTTTATGAAATAAATTTCACAGTTGGTGAAATGAGGGAAAATATTTCTAAAGCATGTTTTAGATGCAAACTAGAATTTATCCAAAAGTTGAAAAGGAGCCCCTAGGAGGCGAAAGGGGTTGAAAAACGAAAAAAGAGCTTTGAGGTGTATAAAATAATAAAGTTGTTTAACGGCATTTCTTCCTGAACAAAAAGATATATTACAACCTATATTTACAAAAAATTTTAAAAAGGGGCCCTTACGGTCCTCGATAATCTAAAGTGTGTGTGGATTGGGGGGGGGGCAATTCTTGGTATCATAGCATGAACCACAGTTTTTTTTTTACATATTATCTAAAGCATACAATATGACTTGAAAAATGCAACATAGTTTCTCATCTGAGTTGTAGTGTTTCATTTTTTAATTTCTTTTATTTTTCGGCAGTTATATCTCTTTGTAATATTATATTAGTTCAGTTAATAGTATATTAGTTCAGTTCAGCATGATATGATTTACGCATGCAGTGCCGGCAAAAAATATATACAGCCTTTCAAAATTTAGGATTTTGCTCAAGATTTTTTTTAAGTCTCAATTTTGTGTCCTTAGGGTCCATAAGTTATAGTTCATGCAAAATTTTACCACAATTTAAATTATTTTATATACCACCCCTCAAAGGGTTAAACTAACATGTTATGATAAGCTAATGTAAAACTGAAAGGAGAGTAATGGAAAGGGTGGTTTTTTAGAAATAAAGATATTTGTATCTTTTGCAGTTAAACTTTAAATTTTACTGTATATATTTCTAATCTCTATCCTTTTAATAACAAGGTGCACTTTTTTTCAGTCTTAAAGCAATCATCATATATAATAATAAAATTAATATAAATATGAAAAGATAAATTAGAATATAAATTAGCAATAGCCCCTTAATGCTTAATTTGGTATTTCCTCTCTGTATTCTAAAAATATTAATCTTTTTCTACACTGCATTTTACACTTGAGACTAATCCATGTCATACGGCATAATGCTGATAATGTAAATGGAACTAAAACTGAAACAGCTAATAATTTTACAGCAGTATTAATTATCCAATCATAAGCATTGAGAACCAAAACTAATTCATTCTGAATTAAAATTTCATCCTGAACATAACTGCACTTGCTTTTTACACTTTAGCCTAGTTGGACTGCAGCCTGCTGCTCTCTTCTTACTACAAAGTCACCAAAAATCTAAACATTTTGAAATAGGCACAAGCAGTGTGTCAAGTTGTTTGTATCTGCAAAATGTTTACCAAAAGAAAAATGAGGACTTCATCTGCCCCAGTTGCCAGTTTCCCTATTCAATATGGAGTTTTCAACATTCTGTGAAATGAAATAAAAATGAAGACTTAATCTACCTTGGCTGCTAGTTTTCCTATCAATATGGATCAACATTTCAACATTCTATGCAATCAAAATTCTTACTTTTCATTACAGACTTAACTTTCTACATTATTTGCTATCTACATGCCATGAAATTCAACTTCATCAATATTTATGCTATCAATGTTTCTAAATCCTCATTACATCTAAGTCTGCTTCATTACACATGCACACACACACACATGTGTATATATATATATATAGTTATTAGAAAAATTATAAATAAAATAATGTATCAAAAATCTAACATAAATCTGTTGAAGAAAAATAGATTTAAAAAAATTCATCTATGTCTTACCTGACAACAACGCTCAAACATGTGAGCAAGTGGCAAAAATGAGAGCATTGTATCATTACTACTAGGGGCAGTTTCACCCTAGAAATACAAAATTCGATTTTAATAAATAATTTAAAATATATAAAACAAAGTTATAATTTACAATATATGTATTACATTATGAATTCTAAATGATATCAAAATGTTTAAAAATTACTGATACAATTTACAACATTGCAAATATCTAAGCCAAGTTTTACTCCTTTTTTTAGCATGAGGAATTTTTCCTTAATTTCTTCTCTTCAATAATGTAGATCATTCTTAGTTTATTTATTATTTATCTTAATGATAAAGTCTAATCATTTATCAGTCTCATTATATTGATTTGTGATAGGTAGAACTTGTACAGTGTCAACAATGCTTAGAAATTTTAATTGTTTTAAATAAATATTTTTTTAATTAAATAAAAGATATTTAGAGCTATAGTTTTCATTTGTGAAATAAATTAATTAAATAATTCAATAAAAAAGTAAGACTAATTATAGAAAATAATTTATTGTGTGTTCTTAAACAAATTATTTAGTTTGTTTTCACAAAATGGAATTCAGTTGCATTTCCCATAAATAAAATTAAGATCCACCTCCTCCTCAACATTACATAAGTACATTTCATTGGATGTATTTTAAGAGGCAGCAAATGTTCCTGAAGTGAGTAAACACACTCTAAAATGTAAAGTTTTTGTAAACCATTAGAAGCTTCTCCCCCTTTTGCTTAGATTCTTTTTGTTTAGACCATGGAGTATAAAGAAGAAGGGGAAACTGGTATTACCACTTTTCCCAAAAATGGTCTACTTATAGTCGCATTATTTATAGAGGGCGCTGCAATCACTAGCTTTCCATCTTTCTGTAGTATTTTGCATTGACAGTAATAGCGAAAATACTGATTTGATATCAATTTTCATTATGAAAAAGTCAAATAATGGAAACTATTTTGTCGCTGGATGCAGCAGTGGTTATGGAACTGTTAGACTAAAGAATAAAAGCTTGGGAATCAAGAAACCAGATATATTTAGAGTTCCAAAGGTGAGCAACATTTATATTATGCCTGATCATATATACGAATTTATATAACTTTTCAGAACATCTGGATTGTTAGTAAATAAAAGAATATTTACTGTATGCTTATAAAAAAAGTAATAAATTGAAAATTGGTTAAATATTGCACATAACTTATGTGCATCTGCATTTCGTCCATGAAAGTATGCAATTGTTAGATTTTAAAGTTAAATAAATTTCTGAAATTATACAAAAGTGATAGAGTATTTGCCCTTCTATTTCATTTACAGAAAAGAAGATAAACTCATTCCCCCTTCTTTTCAGTTTGAAATATTTTTTTATAATAAATGGAAAAAGAAGGTAATGGAAATGCTGCATGTAAATTGAAGTGAATAAAAACATAACAGCAGATAAATGGTAATTAAACAATGCTGCATGATTGAGCGAAAACATAACGGCAGATAAGTGTAATGAAAAATGGATTTTCTGTGAAATAAATTCAGCATATTAAATGAATATGAAATCATGCAACCTGATCACATGAATGAATGGCTATTAAAAATTAAGATTTAAATCTTATTACAGTGCAGAGTGAGAACCATTATGCACAAGGATTTTTAATTTAAATTTGAATTTGTAGAACTTTTCAAGTGTTACATGCTGCAGTTAAATTTTAATTTGACATTTTCAACATTACAATTTGCATGAAAGTAATGTAAAAACATTGCATGCAACGTAATGTATAAAAAAATTACATGTACGTAACTGAAGTATGATATTTAAATTTGTACTTGCAACTGAATTCTGATATTTATATATACGTAATGAAATATTTTTTACAGGATTCTGTGCTGCTAGAAAAATGGAGACATGGAGTTTTTCGGGCCGACCAAATACTTTCGGAGAAGGATGTTGTAACAATTTTCCGAGACCAAGTTGTCCAATGGCACGGTATTCAAATTAGAAATGGTCACCCTAGGCTCCAGAAAGAAGCAATACCTTCAACTTTTCCAAATCTGCCATCGTATTTATCTAAACCATCAAGTAAAAGAAAAGCACCTGCTGCAAGAAATGTGTGTGTGGTTGCTTCCTTGATTGAAGATAATGTTACTGCTTCTAAAGCCACAAAGGATTTTATTTTTTCTCTGTTGACTGAAAGTCTGCAGATTTCCAAACCACATTGTTTGTGGATCGTAAATTCTGTAGTTGTATTTATTGTATGTGCTCGATGGAGTTGACTGAAAGTCTGCAGATTTCCAAACCACATTGTTTGTGGATCGTAAATTCTGTAGTTGTATTTATTGTATGTGCTCGATGGAGTGCTAATTACTCATGTGGAAAAGCATTATAATTGATAAAGATATGACTAAAAATTTCAAAACAAAATACCTTTAAGATTATAAAAATGTCATAAACAATTTTTAGTCAAAACAAAACTAACCTTTTGTTTTGACGTTTTTATAATTTCAGTATTGTGCATCAAATTACATTTGGTCCTACTGTGCAACACATTCATTGCTTTTTTTTCCACTAATTTATTCTTCGCTTATTCAACAACATTCTGCCCAACATATACAAGTGCATAAAAGTGTTTAATTTCAAAATTTCATGGTATGATATGGTTATAGTGGTTTGTAACGTTTCTTCATCCCGTATGTGATTTATCTAATTAAGAATAACTGGGGATGAACAAAAATTGTATTTTGCCTTATCATGGAAATATGTGTACTTACAATATGATATATTACAAAATGTAATGTACCGTATTTATATCATGCACTTATATGTACCGTAGTTGATGGCATATAAGACACACTTTTTTTCCTAAATTTGGTCTAAAAAAAGTTACCTGTGTCTTATATGTGAAGGACACAGTCTTATACATGAAGGTAATTGCATTCAATAATTGTTTATTTGGCTTTTACGAAACGTGAAAACTAAAAGAAACCACGCTATTGAAACTTTTTTTCCTTGTGTGTGGCCGTCTAAATAAAGGTGCGTCTTATACGCCGTCAAATACGGTATTTTTGCATAAAAAGTTACCGACATTAAGACTGAGTTTATATGAATATATTTTTCATGATAAATTATGGAATACAGTCAAAAGTCGTTAATCCGGAACTCGTTGGGACTTCGGCGATTCCAGATTATCGATTTTTCCGGATTACAGATCATCAGTTAAATCTGGTAAGATGGCATGCAGAAATTATAAAATTAAAAATATGAAACCATAATTTATGAAATAAAGAACAATTATGATCTAAAGGGTATCAAAATTTACAAAAAAAAAAAGCTTAATATTTATTTGTTTATTTTATTAAACATTTCTTTCAATGTAAGTTGTTTAAGTTGCTTCGTTTTTTATGTGATAATACATTCTCTTTAATTCTATAAACAGACATTATTTCTTGTTCAGTTACAAAGTTCCGCTGTTCAAGTCCTATAATTGCTGTTTCGAGAATGCCGACTAATTTGTCAATCAAAATGTTTTCGTTTTCAATAACCTCTCTGTCACTTTCTTCACTATCGGAAGCGAATTATAATGACGAGGAACTTGATTTAAATCATATCAAAGACAGAGTACATCGAGATGAAATACTAATTTTAGTAAGGAATTATAAGCCAAATAAAATAAAAACATCTGCCCTGAAGATAAGGATGTGTGCTGACAAATCAACTTCCAATTCATTGCGCGCCGCAGCGTTAAAGATAAACAAAGTTTAGATAAACAAACATTAAAGTTTAGATTAACAAAGGATATGGCTTTATCCATTTTTTTGCAGCAATTCCACTTTTTGTTTAATGGACTTCAAAACATACTTTTGGGTTGTGCATCCTTTACATATTAGTAAATATATATCAAATTCTATTTGACATAATCGAAAGTACAAGCTTACTTTTATAAAATTGCTCTAACATTCTGCAAAAAATAATAAGCTGGATCCAGTTCGAAGACTTAGGAACAACGCAATCTGCAACATTAACTGAAATAGATAATTAGGTAATTTTAGCTTAGCTTATACCGTCCGTTATACATTAAACGCGCATTCGTAAACGTATTTTGCGCACGCGCACACACATATTCGCAGACGCAAAGGTCTTCTGCGCATGCGTTAATGCTATGCATGTGCAGAAAGTTTGTAGCTTTGAGGTCTGGATTATAGATCATTCCGGATTATGGGTGTCCGAATTAACGACTTTTGACTGTATAAAAATAAATGGTTCCTTGTTCTAATATTAGAAATTTTGTTATCTATATGGCATGGTTTAGTAATACTTAAATGATAAATCTTTCCATTTAAAATGCAATTTGTAATCTACGTAATATGTATTTCAGACTGTTAGTTCCATCATGATCATCATGATTTTATATGAGGCTGGCACCGTGATACTGGAATTTTTATTATCCACATATTAATTTTTCCTCCTTCTCCCCCCTCCCTGAAATGTGGTGAATATCTGATGAGGTCAAGTTAAATTTATGTCATTGGAATTATTGTCATACTGTATCATTAGACTGCAATGCTTATTTGAAACACAAATTCACTTTAGATTCAGGTGAATCAGCAATTACCAACATTTTGAAAAATCCTTCCTTGCTTAATTCAGCAAAAGTACATAATTTCTTCACAAATGATTCAATATGCTTCTTATGTTTGTTTTGAATAAATGAAAAAATGCTGAATTAGTTGTTGTCCCACTAGCATTGAAATCCTGTGAAAATGAGAAATTTCTCATATATTCCATCTTGGAGTTCAGAAAATGTATGAAATCTTATCAAAAGATTCTTTTGGAAGGGTAAGGGTAGGTATAATGACACAAAGAATTTTGTCCTCCTGTATCATTTATGTAACAAATACAAATCTTTCCCTTCTAAACAGGCTCCATTTAAAGCTATCAGAATACCTAAATATCTAAATGACTTTATTTCCATATATATTGGTGGTCCTGCACGAAATTGTGGACATGATCTCACTATTCTAGATAATTTTTCTAAACATCTTGTTTTATGACCTCTCAAAAATCTCACTGCTGAAACTGTTA